GTGCTGAGCGGTTCACTCGGTCTTCCTGCAACTAATACGCAAGGTCAAACTCACTCGTTGCTCATGCGGTGCTCCCACCAGACATGAGCTAGGCTGCGGAGGCAGCCATGAAAAACCTGGCTAGCCTCTTTATGTCCGTCGACCTCATGGGCCAGGTTTCACAACCGTATCAGAGGGTTGAACGGACGGCTGCTTTATAAACTCGGTCCTTCAGAATGAGAATGATGTCGCGTCTGGGTCACAGATGGCGTAGACTGGCAAAATCAGTGCTCTCGAGTCAATGCTGACGCCAGTTTCACCGGCATTTGAAGCTGCATCATCGCCAGACAGGCGCATTGGGAATGTGCCGCCAGTGTCGCATGTGGGTGATCGCTGGGTAAGCACGGAGCTCGAATTTTGCAGGCGGGTTTCTGATAAACAACAAATATCTATCGATAGGGTCTCTAGTGTGCGGGCAAGTGCCGCCTGTTGGCCAATATGTAGCAAAGTGCGCACGTTGAGGCATGCAAATTTTAGCGAGACTCGAGGACTCCAAAGGGAGACGGATGAACTGACGCTGTCCGTTTGGTTGAACTTGGACTTGTCCACTGTATTGGAGAGACGCTCTACGACTGTGTGAGTTCAAACTATAAGACAAGCGACTATTGAAGCAAGCTGGGGAAAGTCAAGTATCGGGTAGTTGAGCACTGGGGGGATGAAAGTGAAGCTGCAACGGGACGATAAGGGCGAAAAATCGCAACAGGGGGAATAAGAAGACGAGAAGACTTGAGCAGTATCATCTAACTCCCTATGCAACTTGCTCCATGCAGTAGACAAGGCGTCGTTGATTAGCCTCCGTGACGGCCAGGGCATCAAGAAATTGTTAGAACAAAGCGTCATTGTCACTTCCACTCCTAGGTTAACTGAAGTCAAAGCACAACTTGAGGATGCATCACATCACTTGCATCACATGATTTAACCCAAGTTACTGGGACAAGGGACAGCGTAATCAAATTGTGTGCACCCGTGAAATTACAGTGCGTCCACTGGTTCCCGTTACTTTTCGTGATTCATTCACTTTTTAGTCTCAATTTACATACATTAATTTTTAAGCGTTTGCTTTTAAATCCTCTTTAAAATCCATTGTTCCAGTCGTTTTGTTGCTTTTATGACCCTTCCCTTTGCTTCTAACTGGTGCATCGTGCGCTACGTTCCTTCGTTGCTCTTTATGAGCCGCTCTCCATTCCTTTTCTTGATCTTTGCTATACACATTGGGCCTAGCTGCCTCAATCGACTCTATCACCACGTGTTTGGAACGTTGTGTATGTGTCATCTCAATCGACTAGTGTTCGGGTCAGACTTTGCACTGCCTCGTCGACGTTGTTGGGCGGAACCTGGGATACTAGTCGGTAAGCAATGACACGTAAGACGTGCCAAGTACGACAGTATAGAAGTCGGAGGCAACTGAACCCAACGTATATTGTACAGGCTACAAGGATAGGAAGCGAATCAGACAGAGCGAGAAACGTGCAGCAAGGAACTCACCAAAACGGTTTGTGACCATGGATGTGCAGTCAGTTAAACAAATGGACGTTTCGAAGGTTAAAACAACCATAAAATCCAATGTTATAAGATACTGAAAGAGCATGTTTTCAGTTGCACTACAAGGGCCTCCCCCTAGAAGGCTGAAGGATGGAAGCCTTCGATGGAGCTGTTAGTGGGGGGAACGGTAGGTGAGGGTGGATGCGAATGTTTGCAGGGCTTGAGAAGGGCTTCCAAAGTGGGGTGTAGCAGATTTCGCTGGGTCCAGGCTTGTGTTAGTTTTATTTATGACGATCGTGTGGACCAGAGTGCATCATCGGTGGGCCGTCGGGGCGGGCTGGTCGGACTACAAAAAAAACTGGCTAGTCCAGAAAAAAACGCCGACAGGACCTTCCCATTGCTGCAGACCCGACGGTGCGCTTGGGAGGTGTCACTCCCCCCACCGCACTTTAGTCCACGGTCCTCGTCCCACGAAGAAATCCAGGCGTGCTCGTCCCACGAAGGAATGCGGGGCGTCCTCGTCGGCAATGCCTAGGCGGCGTTTAGGGACCAATCCTTCGCGGGTGTCTGCGATCGAGGGCGGGGAATGGGGTGAGGATGGGGGCTGTGGGACGGCTGGCGAGTCACTCCAGGGTTGTGTTGAGCCGGTTGGCGCGTCACTCGAGGGTTGCCTGGGCAGTTCCGGCGGTTGAGTTTCTGGAAGATAGAACTCAGAGGGGGTTGGCAAGGGTCTGGGAAGTGGCTTGACGCCGGAGAGGGAACATGGCATGTAGGATAAAAGCAAATACGCTTTTCAGGTTTTTCAAAATGTTTTGGGATTTTTTATCGATTTTGCAAAACGTTTGTGGGTGAGACGCCGGATAACCATTAAACACGAAAAAGGCGTGTTAATGGAAATAGCAAACGCTTACAAAATCAGAAAAACGGACCGGACGTTTGACCTGTCTACCGCGTCGGTCGTTGCCGGGGGTTGCGGCGGGATAGGTTGCGGGTCAAGGGGTACGGAGTTATCCAGTGCTCGGGAAGTCACCACAGGTGCGGGTGCTTGTGGGAGAGCATCAGGATGGGCTGCAAGTGGCTCGTCAAAGAAAGCCACTTTGAGGCGGTCGATGGACACCGTTGTTCGGTGACCATTCTGGTCTATAGTAAAATGTTTCGGAGTCCGTTGCAGAACTCTGAAAGGGCCAGTGTAGGGAGGCTGGAGAGGGCGCCGCACTGCGTCGGTGCGGAGGAAGACGTGAGTGCAGGTAGAGAGTCCGCTGTGCATTTGCACATCTCTAGTCTGTTCACGGGGCGGGGTCGGGCGTAGTGAACGCATGCACTGGCATTGAAGGCAGGCGCGAGCCCAGGTGCGAAAATCTTTGTTTACGCGTGGCCAAACGAAACGTTCGGTGACCAGTTTCAGAGATGCACGGATACCGGGATGTGACAGTGAGTGAAGTGCGTCAAAGACTGTGCGTCTGAAGGAGACGGGCACGAGAGGTCTAGGACAACCTGTGGACGTGTCACAGAGGATGGTTCCTTCCGCGGTTTGGAGAGGAACAGGTTGCACATGCAGCGAAGTGGACTGCAGAGTGCGCTGTATGTCTTCGTCCTGAGCCTGAGCCGATGCCATGGTGGCAATGTCGACAGTAGGCAAAGACTGGAGGGTGAGATTGACGCGTGAGAGAGCGTCGGCGACGGGATTGTCGACACCTGAGACATGACGTATGTCAGCAGTGAACTGCTTGACAAAGTCTAGGTGTCTTGTTTCCCGTGGTGAGTATCTGTCGCTAGCAGAGTTAAAGGCAAAGATAAGGGGCTTGTGATCAGTGTAGACCGTGAAAGCGCGGCCTTCGAGTGTGTGCCGGAAGTGACGTATTGCTAGGTAAATGGCGAGCAGTTCTCTGCCAAACGTGCTGTAGCGGGATTCCGCTGGCTGCAGGCGCTTGGAGAAGAACCCAAGGGGTTGCCATTGCCCACCAACGTGTTGTTGGAGGACGGCTCCTACCGCGACGTCTGAGGCATCAGTCGTAATAGAAAGAGGTGCAGTCCATTCCGAATGAGCGAAGAGGGCTATGTTGGAGATAGCATCCTTCAGCTCTGCGAAGGCTGCCTGTGCTGTGTCAGGGAAGGCGAACTTACGTTCATTTCCTCTGAGTAGGTCAGTCATTGACTGCATGAGCTGAGCGCAGCGCGGAATGAAGCGTCGATAGTAGTTGACCAAACCACAAAATCGACGGAGGTGCTTGAAGGAAGTCGGAGCTGGGAAGTCCTTGATTGCCTGGATCTTATCAGGAAGGATTTCGATACCAGACGATGAAACGAGGTGGCCTAGGAATTCTACCGTTGATTTGCCGAGTTCGCACTTAGTCGGGTTGACTGTGACACCGTGTTGAGTCAAGCACTGGAAGAGAGCTCGAAGATGCTCGAGGTGCTCTTGTTCCGATGAACTGGCTACTAAGATATCATCGAGGTAGGAATATGCAAAGTCTAGGCCACGAGTGACATCGTGGATGAAGCGTTGGAAGGTTTGTGCGGCGTTGCACAGTCCAAATGGCATCCTTAAAAATTCAAACAAACCGAAAGGAGTGATTACGGCTGTTTTGGGAATGTCATTGTCTTCCACAGGTATCTGGTGATAGGCGCGAACCAGATCGATCTTGCTGAAGATCGTCTTACCTGTGAGGCCTGCGGTAAGGTCCTGCATGTGTGGGATGGGATACCTATCTGGGACGGTTAGGCGATTGAGTGCGCGGTAATCAGAAGGTTGCGTGTTCGGGTCACGTCGGGGTCACCAATTGTTGGGCGGAACCTGGGATACTAGTCGGTAAGCAATGACACGTAAGACGTGCCAAGTACGACAGTATAGAAGTCGGAGGTAACTGAACCCAACGTATATTGTACAGGCTACAAGGATAGGAAGCAAATCAGACAGAGCGAGAAACGTGCAGCAAGGAACTCACCAAAACGGTTTGTGACCATGGATGTGCAGTCAGTTAAACAAATGGACGTTTCGAAGGTTAAAACAACCATAAAATCCAATGTTATAAGATACTGAAAGAGCATGTTTTCAGTTGCACTACAACGTCATCGACTCCCCACACTGCTCGATATCTGAAGGTGCTAGTAGTTGTGGTCCCGAAACTTCGCTTTAATTATCCAGACTTTATAAATAAATAAATGCGTTATTTCCTCTTCGTGCTAATAAGATGGTCCCCAGTATTTTAAGACTCACGGTAGTTAAGCAACATCGAAGTGTTGTTTCATTCTGTTGACAACCATTGCAGTTTAACCGAGCTAATATAATTCAAAACAATATCACCTACCTTTTAATTCGTTTCATGAATATTGACCGACATCTTTCCTGATTCGAAATGCATAAATATAAGTTTATTTCAACCATTTATTGTTGATAGTTTATAATCTGCTACACTTGCAAGGTAGTTACTTCATGCTTCACTCTAGATCTGTTGGACTTTAATAATCAAAGCTTCAGGTCAAATATCTGCCATAATCTTTCGGACAAAGTCCTCGTAATAAATATTCCCTTCTTCGTCTTGTGCCATTTCAATCATTGCATCCACTTCGTCGTCGTTTAATCTCTCACCCATTTGGCACAAAGCGTGTCGCAAATCAGAGGCTGGGATAAAGCCGTTGTTCTCTAAATCAAATGTACGAAATGCATCAATGATTTCGGTTTCCGTATACGTCTCGTTGTATTTCCATGCGGCCATAGTACAGAACTGTTCGAAGCTAATCCCTTCGAGGGCAGAATTCTTTTCTTTGTCGACTTCGACTATGAGTTCCTGTGCAACAGATGGGGAACAAAAGACCGAAAGATGTAACGTTTGAAGCAATTTCGCTAATTATTTGCCTTCCTAGTCGGTTTTATAAACCATCTATTGAGTGACACATGTGATACAAATTTCTCTCTCTTTGTCGTTATCTCTTCAGATTGACCACAAATGTATGGCGAAATTTGATCTTCTGAAGCTCTGCCATAAGGTTTTGTAAGGAACATTACATTTGCATCGAAGTAAAAGTTGTAGTATTATTTTCGTTTTCGTTATGGGGTATGTATTGCCCAAAGCCTACGGCAGCGAATGCATGGCTGTCCATATTTTGTTTGCCGTGCGTGTCAAATCCCACCATTCAAACAGTGGCATGAATTTCCATACAGCCTGATCCATCCTCATATGCACAGGTTTTCATCTAGTTTCGAAAGTTATTATTTTCCTTCATATTACAGTACTACCCGCACTTCTTTCCAAAAAAATAGCTTAAGCTTGGGACGCGTTCACCTCATCCATCTTGCTCACAGGTCTGAAAACTACCTTGATTAATGGCGTCCACCGGTTCTCTAAGAGCTACTCTTCAAAACCTTCACATGTGGTTGTATATCTCTGTTGTAGCCGATTCATCCCATGGGACGAACGTTATCGAGTTAACCGCACCTTAGAGGATTAACAGAAGAAAACTCCACACAGAACGCTACTTCTTCACAAGGTTCCTGAAACTGAAGCATGTGATGAGCCCGAACTAATTACCCATGATAAAGAACAGTGGTGTTATATTCGTGAAACACTGCTTGAATGATACGGTAACGAAACCCGTGTCACGGCTGCGTACCTCACCGACCTACAATAAGTGGCCCGAGAGTGTTAAAGGTGATCCTTCAGTCAAAACATATGGTAGCACAGCTGCTAAAAGCTGGTACGTGTTCCGCTGCAGTTTGGCATCTGAGCTTCGGCTGAAGACATTCAGCGGTATACCTCCTTGAGATGATATGTCACACAAAGAACCAAAGGCGATGGGATCTATAGAAGAATAACGCACCAATAGTGTGTCTAATAAGCTCATACAACCGATAACAGATGATATTGACCAGACACCTTACACTGTACGTAGAAGATTAGACACGAGATTAACTACGCGAACGGTGAATAAGACCTTAAACCCTTCTCCAAGTACACAGTGAAATAACGATTATTCGCCGGCCACTCCCTGGTCGGCGAAACTGCACGTAAGAGTTGCACAACCTCCGAAACATTGCTTAAATTTGAGAAACTGTCATGTATGTACACTAACGCCCAAGGGCTCCTCAGTGAACTTACCGAACTTCAGCTACCTCAGGCTGCGAATGCTTGGGACCTAATTTCTATTACCGAAACTTGGCTACACCACGAGGTGACTGATGCTGAGGTTGAGATAGCCGGAATATCACTCATCCGGAACGACCGCCCCAGCAGAGGAGGTAGGGTCCTACTCTACTACTGCAGCGATCTACAATGTACAATAGTTGATGATCTGGAAACACGCGTTATCGACTCACTCTGTTGCCGTCTGCGACTAAAATACAACGACGCATGTCTCGTAGCTGTCGTTTACCGCCCCCCAACGTCCACTGCGGAAATGGATTCCGGCTTGATACGTGTCCCGAACAGAGTCACACGCACGCGGTACAGTCACATTCGCATCTCCGGGGACTTCAATCTACACGATCTGGAGTTATCGGCATCACCCAGTGAACAGTTCAAACCATACTTGCATTATCTGATCGCTAATATTCCCTTGTACAATCATGTCACCAAACCCACTAGATTCAGGACGGCAAACAAACCGTCCATATTGGACCTTGTGCTCACGAATGAAGAGCTCATGGTTGACAAGTTATTGCTTGAAAGTCGTAGTTATAACGTTCAACTTTGTGTATTATAGAAGAGTAGTAGGGGAGTTGAATGGTACAGGTAGAAATTCGTCACATCTAGACTCACTCAGACAGCCGCCACACCCTGTCCTCTGCACGGCAGTAACGTGTAAGTCAGTGAATCGTGAGCCACGCTATATCACATCTAGTAACTTATTCATGATGGTCGCTGCCGTTCCCTATAGCTCATTGACCTCAACCACTGACCGGAAACAGTCGAGTTGCGAGCTCGAGCCCCGCCAGGGTCCGACGGAATGCGCACTGCTGATGAATCCCGAAAGGATGAAACGCGCGTACAGTGACTTTCCGGGTGTGTGGCGGCTGTATGACTGAGTCTAGATGTGACGAATTTCTACCTACGTGTGTCATGCAGAGTATCCAAATGAACACTCGGAACTAACATACAATCACACGCTATCACGTACTGAACGAACTCGTCGACACATCCACTTGGGAATTCTCAAACCACATTCATCTTGACAACTTTTGGACCGAGTTCGTTGATGGACTCAGCAACATCGTCAAAAGGGCACCAGAGACCAAGCCCCTTCGTCCCGAAAAAATGCCGTCAATTCTAAGGAGCAGGACCCGCAAATGCTTGACGATAAGCGATGCAGCATGGGGTGCGTACAAGATTAACCCCAACTCAGACACTTGGAGCAATTTCCTGACCCATCGCAACCATTGCACTGTATATGTCCGTGAGGACAAAGTAAGTTTTCAACAGCCCTAGCCAAATTATTCCTGGCAAACAACAAATTGCTGTATAGGCATGTCAACAATCTTCGTAAAGTGAAGCATGGCATCTCCCCACTTTTCACGACAGACGGTAGAGTACAAAGCGCCGAAGAAGCAACTAATGTCCTGCGGCTACAATATGCCCCAATTGTCGAACTCGCAGCCTCTACTTGTCCCATAATGTCATGCACATTATCAACTACATTGTTTAAAAATGTAATATGCAACCCATCAGTTTTGCTAAGGAAGTCACTACGCTTTCATAGCTCTCAGGGAGTCGACAACATCCGCCCGAAGGCACTGAAGGCTGCGGCCACCAAGCTAGCTGAACTATTGTCACAGTTCCTCCAAAGGTGCTTCAATGAACAGCAAGCCCCACTATGTGGAAGCGTGGCATTATCACTCTAATTTTTAAAGGCGCTAGCCGTTCAGATCCTGCAAACTATCGCGCAGTGACTCTCCTCCCTGTGCTCTCGAAGGTGATGGAAGCGGTCGTCGTTGAGGCTTTAATAGACTAACTGGAAAAACGCAACAACTTGGCACCGGAGCAGCATGGCTTCCGTCAACACCGGTCATGTACGACCAACCTATTAATTACATGAGGTAGTTGGACGAAAGTGGCCGATGATGGGTCGGAGTTGACATCATCTGTCTAGACTTCTCCCAAGCTTTCGACCGCCTAGATCACCACATTCTGATTCCCCGGCTACAGAGCTACGGAATCGGAGACCGTGTGCTTGGTTGGATTGGCAGCTTCCTTCACCAACGGAAGCTTCAAATACGCGTTAGTGGATCACTTTCTAACCTGCTTCAGGAAGAATGTGGTGTCCCACAAGCCTCAGTGCTGGGACCGCGCCTATTCCTGGTGTTTATCAATAACCTGACAAGAGTTATCTCCCCAAATGTCCTGCGTTTCACCGATGACGTCAAGATATGGTTGGTGATTAGTAGCAATGAAGATCACGATCTACTCCAACATGACATATATTGTGTTTACGAATGGTCCCAGAGGAACCTGTTTCAGTTGAACGTAGCTAAGTACAAGGTGATCCATCTGCGTCACCAGCCTATGAGCGCACACAAGCTTGGAGATCACACCTTGCAGAAGGCCTTTCATGAGCGTGACCTGGGTGTACTGGTACAGGAAGATCTGGGGTGTTCAAAACAAGCAGAGAAGGCGACGAGAACCGGAAATCAACACTTCGGCCTTCGTCGCAGAGCCTTCGGTCAGTTTGAACCCTCAATCTTTCTCCAAATGCTTAAGGTCTACGTGTGTCCGCACGTGGAATATGCTATTCAGACGTGGCAGCCGTGGCAGAAACAGGATCTCGTTGTTCTCGAGACTCCTCAAGGAAGTCCAACCAAGAACGTCAGGGGCCTCTTTCATCTGCCCTATAAGCTTAGAGTGAAATCTCTAAGAATGTACAGCAGTGGATATCGGCTTTTGCGGGGGGACCTCCTAATGGTTTACCCGATTCTGAAGAACCCAAAGCACGTTTGCTGCCAGCTGCAGGAACTGAACCACTACACTAACCTAAGAGGTCATCTTCTGAAACTGACAATACAGTATTGTCGGTTTGAATGCCGTAGAAATTTCTTTTCTCTCCGCGTGTGCCAACCTTGGAACGCCCTGCCTAATTATGTCGTCTCTGCTCCTAATCGGGCGATATTTAAAAAACGAGTTGACAATGCGTTGTCTCATTTACATTTCGTTTATGAATTGTAAGTCAGGGACTACAAAATGTAGTCAAACGGCGTCTTGCCAAACTCCCTACGAATGGATTTATGGATTTATACTTGCGATACGCAAAGATCTCCGCTATTCTACATGAGCCTATGGTGAGTCCACCAAAACGCTTTTCACTATCATGCAATTTACTTTTCGAAATAAATTCCATCGTACGGGATTTGTTAAGCATAATATTTTTACCAGTAATACACCGTTGTTTCGTTGTTCATCACCTGTCCTCCTCTCATGTTTCATTTGGTGGCTGAAACACAGCAAAACCGGACAATTAAAATGGACTATTCGGTGTGTTTAGTCTGTTACTCTTTGATTGAGTACAGATACACATCCTGCCTTTTTCTGTTGCCTTCTTGATGCAACATTGGCATCGCGAGCCCAAAGCTGAACCTCTCCGTACAGCCCCATCTCGATTTTGGACTGATTGCGATACCAGATCAACATCCGATGATTGGCTCCGTTGGAATACGTCCTTCCAAAACTACTTGGATTTAATCTGCCATTTCTCTGCTGCTCTCAGTGAGGAAAACAGATTGAAGGTGCTTCGACATTTACTCGGAGATGAGGGGCAGCAACAGTTTGAGGATTTGGATCTTCAAGGATGTAATTCTGTTAAA